TTTAAAAAAAAAAAAAAAAAAAAAAACTTGATGACTTGAAAAGTTCAAAATATACAAAGAAGTTGAATAAATGAACCTGATCTAATTATTTTTGGTCGAGTTAGGTTCGATTCATTACGGAAAAAAGTTAGCTCGAGTTGAAAAGCATTTACAACTCGAACAATTAGATTAGGTCTAAAGACACACCCGACTCTCTCTATATAATCGTGTCATTCTCATTAATATTTTAATTCACTTCGAATTAATTAATAATGAGTCATAAGAGGGTTGATAGTCTTTGTTTATGAGTACAACTCTATTAATATACACACAATTTTAAACTTAGCTTAATGATCCACTAATTAGCTTGTTTTTAGATTACGAAATCGCACATGTTAATACATATAACATCCCATTTGACCATCTGCTCCCTACCTCATTTCAGTCCTCTATTCTTTATTATTTTTAACCCTACACTAAGATTCTATATTTATATCATAATACAAAGCTTCTCACAATCTATAATATATATAATTTAGTTCGGCTGATATCATGGACTTGTCTACTTCAAAAGGGTGTGTGCATATACTATTACAAGTGCTATCTATCTTCATTATGTTTGAGCAAACACACTTCGATATAAATGGTATGCTGCTATAATGTTGAGGTAATCTGTAACCGTCGAAACCCACCGCTACTAGATATTGTCCTCTTTAAGCTTTCTCTTTTGAGTTTTTCCTAAAGGTTTCGTTTGCTAGGGAGAGATTTTCACACCCTTATAAAAAATGTTTCATTTCCCTCTCAAACTAATGTGGGATGTCACAGTCCACCTCTTTGGGGCCAGCGTCCTCGCTGACACTCGTTCCACTCTCCAACCGATGTGAGATTTCACAACCACCCCCCTTCAGGGCCCAGCATCCTCTGGCTCGTTACCCTCTTCAATCGATGTGAGATCTCACAATCGACCCCCTTCAAGGCCCAACGTCCTCTTACTTGTTCCTCTCTCCAATCGATTTGGGATCTCACAATTCACCCTCCTTCAGGGCCTAGCGTTCTTGCTGGCATTCGTTCCTCTCTCCAATCGATGTGAGATCTCACAAACCACACCCTTCAGGGCCCAACGTCCTCTGTCTCGTTTCACTCTCCAATTGAAGTGGGATCTCACAATCCACCACTCTTCAGGGCCCAACGTCCTCGCTGACACTCGTTCTTCTCTCCAATCGATGTAGGATCTCACATGATTAATTAACTGCACCCATTAAACAACGACCAAAGTCAATATATTATAAGTAACAATGTCAATTTAACTCACATGGACTTGTTTCAAACAGGGTAGAAAATTCTCGTTCAAACGAAGAACGAGAGAATGAGCAAAGAGAGTTTTTCCCGGATGGCTAAATGGGGATGAAGACGATATTCTCCATCCTCGTTCTTGTCTAGCTCGACTTATTCATCTATTTTTTTCAATTCTAAAAATTTAGTACTCTTTTTTCTTTATGTACGTGTTCGTCTTAATATACTTTTATCACTCATAAACTTATAATTATTTATTATTACACCAAAGAGAGAGAGAGAGAGAGAGAGAGAGAGAGAGAGAGAGAGTTGTGTATAAAACTTGATTTTGGTATAGACAAAAATGATTTCCCATTCCCTTTGAAGAACCCTTCATATTCTTCAAACCCCTTTCCTCTCTCAACCATGGAAGCTCCAATCTTCATCTCTCATGCATGGAGCTTCACCAAATCTCTTTAACTTCAAACACTTCAATTTATTTCCTTTCAATCTCTTTCAAAATCCCTTCATTTTTCTTCTCTTCAATGGGTTCAATGAACTGGTTAGGCTTCTCCCTCTCCCCTCAAGAACAACACTCCGACCACCATCACGGTGGCGGCGGTGGCGGTGTTGGTGGCGATGGTCCTTTCACCTCCGACAACATCTCCGGCTCCGCCGTCTGTTTTGACAACCTCCCCTCTTCCTATGGCGTCTATGAACCCTTCCACCGCA